TTGATGGCTATTTAAGACGACCAGTTGTTTACGATTTTGTAAGTAGCTACTTAGTAGAGAATAGAAATTACCTCGTATCCCTAGTTGGTACATTTTGTACAGGAGACCCTTATGCCAGACACGATCGAAGGCTTTACTGATGTCACAGAAAATAGCTTTGACCTCATGGCCGTTATCGAGGCTTATGTCATTGGTATATGGTTGAGTCATTTGGCCTGAAACCAGATTGGAATAAGGTCAAGATGCTATTTTCAAGTAAGAAATTGTTTATGTGATTAAACATGCATTTCTCGAAAAACTTACCAATAGTGCTTAGCAGTGAGATGGGCCTGTAGTTGGAGCATTGACATTGTTCACCATTCTTGTGGATTGGAACGACGATCGCTTTTTTCCACTCGTCGGGGTAGATTGCTGCAGAATGAAGAATGTTGAATAGTCTGGAGAGCGGTGCAGATAGACATTCGGAGCAGAGTTTAATATCCTGTTACTTATGAGATCAGGACCAGTAGCTTTGTTCTTATCAAGAGATTATAAGATGTTTTTAACTTCATGCACAGTGTATATAGGTTGTTCAATTTTGGAATCGTTTAGTAGTAAAGCTGAGGGAATGCTATCTGAATTATCAAGTTTAGATTGATTGATGAAGTAAGTATTTAAAAGGTTGGCTTTTTCTGTATCTCCAAAAAAGAGTTCATTATCTGATTCTAGAGGTGGAAGTGTAGAAGTGTTGTTGCCACGTTTCAGTGCATGAGATTTCAGTAATGCCCACCAATCCTTTTCTCAGAAAGAGTTACTGTTAATTCTTGAGTCAAGTTTTTCATCATGTTGCAATTTGCTTTTTTGATCTCAGAAGTAACATGATTTCTAAAAGATTAGAAATCTTGCCAATCTATTACAGATTTATAAAGTTTATATTTTTTGTATTTTCGATTTCTTTGTTGTATAAGTGTACGTAAATGTCCATTGAACCACTAGGGGTCTCGTGGGCGAATTGTGACTTAAACATAAGTGTTTATACCTTCAATTATGACATTTGTGATTGCAAGAGATATAGTTTGAGGACTATGTGACAGAAATAAAGAATTCCAATCCGTTTTTTGGTAGAAATTAATTATGTCAGAGGTATTCAATTTAGAATAGTTCCAGATGAGCCTCTTGTCAGCTATATTCATAGATTGTTCAAACTGAATGGTGATGTTAGTTGAGGCATGATCACTGATGCCATGGTCATTGACACTAACAGATTCAACGAAGTTTGGGCAGCTGACGATGATGAGATCAAGACCACTAGAAGAATGATCGGTTATTCGAGTATATATTCGGCTATAAGTTGGCTTAAGTTGAAGTGTTCTATGACGTCATGTAGTCGGCTGTTTTGAACAGAAAGGAAGTTAACGTTGAAGTCGCCAAGGATGATGACATGCTTGTTCAGGTCCATTGCTTTAGAGATACTGGATTCTATTATAGTCCAGTACTGAACTGGAGCATCTGGTTTACAGTAGAAGCAGCCTACAAGAAAACTTGTGTCTATTTTTCAGTTCAACCCATGCAGTTTCTAAGCCAGGTAATTGGAGCTGTAGACAGTGCTTGTGGAAAAATCTCTTGTTGATATACATAGCGACACCACCACCAAAGTTGCCAAACCTATTGCACCTGATCGGTTTGTGGTAGTTTTTGAGCATTATGGGTTCTATTTCAGAATTATCAGTTAACCAAGTTTCTGAGAGAGTTAAAACATCTTTATCATGAAATGCTGCTTTGATCAAGTCAATTTACCAGTTACGTACATGTACAGTTACGTTACATACGTACATTTTGGTGGCTAACAGAGATAAGATGATTTCCTGGACCAGGATTTTGTTCAATGTCACCACAGACTGTAAGTGAGAAATATAGTCTGAAAATATGTGAAAAAGACTCGAAGAGTATAAAGAATCTCCGATATATCCTAAACAGAACCGCACAAGATGAGCCAGAATGGTCATTTACTGCCAAATCCATGGCTTGATTCCAGTTTAGAAAGCGATCCAAAGGTACCCAAGAAAATAATTAGTAGACAGAAAGATAGTGGAGAGCTGCAGAGGGAGAGAATTGTATCATAAGATAATGTATAAAACAGCAAGATAGGTAAAATAGGTCTGTGCAAAGTATAATTAAAAACAATATATATATACAGTATGTACATTTGGAAAATTTGGGGAGCATAACTGTGAGTAGGGTAATGTGGATTGTAAAAGGTAAAGATAGTGTCAAACAAACTAACATTCACATACGCGTATACGTTCATTATAAAAATATATGTATGTAAACATCATACAATGCTTTGCACTTTTCATATAATTATTAATGTAATCAATATTATGTAAAACTAAATCAAAGATTTTCATGTATAAAGTACATAGCTATAAGATACTTCTGATTCATTGTAAACATTTAAGTTCAATTTGTTTACTGTTATTCTAGTGAAACTAAATCTAAGATTTCCATGAATAAAATACATAGCTATAAGATACTTCTGATTCATTGTAAACATTTAAGTTCAATTTGTTTACTGTTATTTTAGTTAAAGTTAATCAAAGATTTCCATGAATAAAATACATAGCTATAAGATACTTCTGATTCATTGTAAACATTTCAGTTCAATTTGTTTACTGTTATTTTAGTGAAAGTTAATCTAAGATTTCCATGAATAAAATACATAGCTATAAGATACTTCTGATTCATTGTAAACATTTAAGTTCAATTTGTTTACTGTTATTCTAGTGAAACTAAATCTAAGATTTCCATGAATAAAATACATAGCTATAAGATACTTCTGATTCATTGTAAACATTTAAGTTCAATTTGTTTACTGTTATTCTAGTGAAACTAAATCTAAGATTTCCATGAATAAAATACATAGCTATAAGATACTTCTGATTCATTGTAAACATTTAAGTTCAATTTGTTTACTGTTATTTTAGTTAAAGTTAATCAAAGATTTCCATGAATAAAATACATAGCTATAAGATACTTCTGATTCATTGTAAACATTTCAGTTCAATTTGTTTACTGTTATTTTAGTTAAAGTTAATCAAAGATTTCCATGAATAAAATACATAGCTATAAGATACTTCTGATTCATTGTAAACATTTAAGTTCAATTTGTTTACTGTTATTCTAGTGAAACTAAATCTAAGATTTCCATGAATAAAATACATAGCTATAAGATACTTCTGATTCATTGTAAACATTTAAGTTCAATTTGTTTACTGTTATTTTAGTTAAAGTTAATCAAAGATTTCCATGAATAAATTACATAGCTATAAGATACTTCTGATTCATTGTAAACATTTAAGTTCAATTTGTTTACTGTTATTTTAGTTAAAGTTAATCAAAGATTTCCATGAATAAAATACATAGCTATAAGATACTTCTGATTCATTGTAAACATTTCAGTTCAATTTGTTTACTGTTATTCTAGTGAAACTAAATCTAAGATTTCCATGAAAAAAATACATAGCTATAAGATACTTCTGATTCATTGTAAACATTTAAGTTCAATTTGTTTACTGTTATTCTAGTGAAACTAAATCTAAGATTTCCATGAATAAAATACATAGCTATAAGATACTTCTGATTCATTGTAAACATTTAAGTTCAATTTGTTTACTGTTATTCTAGTGAAACTAAATCTAAGATTTCCATGAATAAAATACATAGCTATAAGATACTTCTGATTCATTGTAAACATTTCAGTTCAATTTGTTTACTGTTATTCTAGTGAAACTAAATCTAAGATTTCCATGAATAAAATACATAGCTATAAGATACTTCTGATTCATTGTAAATATTTAAGTTCAATTTGTTTACTGTTATTTTAGTTAAAGTTAATCAAAGATTTCCATGAATAAAATACATAGCTATAAGATACTTCTGATTCATTGTAAACATTTCAATTCAATATGTTTACTGTTATTTTTGTAAAAGTTAATCTTAGATTTCCATGTATTCAGTATGTGACACATTAATAAAAATATTTCTTCTTCTTCTTCTTCGTCTATAATATTAATTAAATGTAATTAACAATTTCGTTTCGTTATCAGTTTTCGTCGGTCTCCATTTGAATCTTAAATATTTTAACGACAAACATTTGCGTCGTCTTAGCGAATATTCAAGACATCGGATTTTGTATCGGTTTTTGCGCTCCTTTGGGGGCATTTTGACTGAAATATCTGCAGTCGCTAATTAAATAAAACTGAACAAAATTAAAAAGATAAAATTACAGAAAAAAATTAAAAGGTCCTCGCCGATAAAACACTCTCCTTGGATATTTATTAGAAACCCTTTACCTCGGAAAATCCCTCGCATAATGGGTTTGAAATATCAGTAGTACTAGAGCTTTCAATTAGGTCGCATAAAAGGGGATTCCCCATTCCATTTCATTTCATGGGGAAAATGCGCCCCTAATTGAAAGCTCCCATAACATAAAGACCTAATCATCCTACATTTCATAAATTCTTACACTAAAAAAGATCTAAACATCCTACATTTCATAAATTCTTACAGCAAAAGACCTAAATTCCCTACATTTCATAAATTCTTACACCTAAATTCCCTACATTACATAAATTCTTACAGCCCTACATTTCATACACTAAAAACACCTTCAATCAATTTCCTACATTCCATCAAAAAAGCATATTAAAATTTTCTACTCAAATTTTAAACCTTAAAAATGGCAAATAAAATACTAGATCCAATCTTTAGATTATACGATCCAATTCTTTATTCATTTAACAAGAAAAAGAGGATTATATTATCATCTCACCCACTGTTGGTTCTAAATCCCAATTGAATGATGGTGGTAGAATTACCTTCGAAATAAATTCATTATCGAATTGGTTGCTTCTTTCCGATGCTTATTTCAGATGCGATTTCAAAATTAAAGACGCCACTCAGAATCAAGTACCACAAACTAATACAACGTTAGAAAACAATTTCTTTCCATCTTTAGCGAGATGGTTTTGGAAGCTGGTTCAAATCCGATAGAAACAATCAAACATCCTGGGGAATTCGACACAATGTTGAAAACAGTTTTATATCCTAAAGATTTCGATTCAGTTTCAGGCTGGATACCCGATGTTGACGATGGAAGTGTTTTAAAAGAACCGGTAAGAAATCTTGCAAATGATGCCGATTTAGCTACAGTGAGAGTTGTTGCTCGAAACACGATAGAAAGAGTAGGACGAGCAGTTAATCATGGATTCGAAAAACGAGTACTTCAGTATAATAATGTTGTTGAGAATAATAGGTGGGGTAATTACGTAAATTGGAAATTATATCCTTTATTCGGTCTGTTGGAACATAGAAAAGTTTCTATAGGCTTACCATATAAAATTCATCTACAAAGAGAAATCAACGACGATAAGATATTTTTTTGGAGAGAATGCTTCAGATGCAAAATTAGAAATACCGAATCTCCAACTTTTCATACCAGTAATAACACCATCAATTGAAGTAGAAACGAAAATATTCAACTCGTTAACTAAAGATATTGAAATAGCTTTTTCTTCATCGTAACACTGTAGGTAGCATGACTTTAACTGGAGAATCCACCACGTGGCCAATCACTAACACTATTAAACCAGCAAGATATTTAATAGTTGGTTTCAAGAACTTACCAGATTCTCAAACGAATCACAATAATGTCTTTAGAGTGGCAATGAACCAAACTCAAGATCCTTTAATCCATAAAGATCAAGTAAGATTAAACAACGATAATTATCCTAACCAACCTTTAACAATTAATCCAACCACAAAGGATTATAATGAATTGTATAGAAACTATAAAAATATGTGTGAATTATTCGGAAATCTACCTCAGTTTGAATATGTAGATTTTGCACTTAATCATCCAATCTTCTGTTTTGATCTTTCAGCTCACCAAGAAGATCTTTTCAAAACAGGAGTAAACATAAATATTCATATTGAAAAAACATAAGGAGATGTAACAGGTTATTGTTTATTATTGGAAGAAGCAAAACATTTAATTAAAATAGCAGATAGAAGAATGATAAGAATTGAGTAAAAAATACACCTTTAAAAATGAAACCAGAAACTTTAGTCAAGAAAATAATAGAAGCTATTGAAACAGCTTCACCAACTACAATAACTTATAATGGTAAAAAAATCAGCATAACTAAAAAACTTATTGATAAATACAAATATTGTAAAGTCAGAGACGATATAGACTTAGAAAGAATTGACGCGAACGCAAAAGAAGGTGGATTTATATTTTCCCTACCTTTAATATTTAGTGGACTTATTGCAGCCGGTACAATAGCTGGTGCTGCAGCTGGTGGAGTAGGCGTTGCCAACGCAAAGAAAGCTGCTACTGCGAAAGCTGCTGGTAAAAAAGCCGCCGATGAAAAGAACGCAGCCGAAGAACATAGACACAATTTAGAAATGGAAAAGTTGGCAGCAGTGGTTGAAAAACCTAAAACGGAAAAGAAAGGTTCAGGAGTGGGAGAAATGATAGGCACAATGAAAGAATTTGGAAAAAGATTTAGTGAAGAAACCAAGAAAACTGTTAAACAAGGATTAAATAAATTAGTAGATAGTATTTACACAGGAGAAATCAAAGTCAAACATAAGGGTAATGGAATATTTTTAAAAAACATACGCACTGGAGAAGGAATATATCTTTCAAAGTATAAAGGAGAAGGAGTTATTTTTGGAACAAATTAAAATAATAAAAAATGGGTAAAAAATTTAATCATTCACAAATATTTCCTAATAACCCAATGCTCATGTACATATGCGGTAGTTCCGGTTCTGGGAAAACTCATCTCACTTTTAACATGTTGACAACACCAAACCTTTTAGATTTCGATTCTTTATATATCTACACAACAACACCAGAGCAATCGTATTATCAATTTCTCAAAGCTTTAGAATATCTAGCAAAGAGAGATGTTCAAGACCTATTTCAATATTACAAAGAACTTACTAGTGTTTGACGACTGCGTGGCGCAAAGAAATCAAACTGTTCAACAAGAATTCTTCACGAAAGGAAGACATCACAACTGTCACTGCATATACCAATCCCAATCTTTTTACGGGATGGATTCTATGTTCATTAGAAAAAATGCAAATTGTTTTTTATTATTTGAATTAAACGACAAAGATTTATCTCAAATCGTTCAATCGATAAATCACGGAATGGACAGAGATGCATTTAAAAAGGTTTGTAAAGCTCAATGAGATATCCAGATGATCATGGATATGTATTTGTAAATACTAGAAAACCTGCGGGTGAAAGAGTTATGAACGATATATGTTAATTTTATTTTTTTAAAGATGGATTGGAATAATATTTTAAAAAGAAATAGAGAATATATCAAAGCTAAGAATAAAATAAAGACCAAGGTTGAAAATAACAGATTACAACAACTCGGATTAATGGAAAATCTACAGACTCTATTTCAACCCATATTAAAATCTCAAGAGGATATTAAAAGGAAATGGGAATATAAACCCACACCTCCTATAGAACCCACACCTCCCAAAGCGATTGAATATGATGGTATTATAATTAGAACATTAGATGATATAAATCGTCTTTTTTCAAACCCTGACCCAGATTTACCAAAGAGCATTTCACCAATCGTTCATAATCAAGGTTTGTTGTTTAATGGATTTAGAATTATATTTAGTTGAAATTCACCACAATTCAAAATCGACACAAAAGACTTTATATTTACATTAACGAGAGGGTTAATAGATTTAATGAATGGTGAGGATGTTGAAATCGCCGATTACAAGGATTTAGTAGCATACTCAAAATTTCTACATGCAATAAGAAAGTCGGGACCCGAAACAAGAAGATTAAAAACAGTTGAAACATATTTAAATAAAGTTATTCCTGATGAAGAGGAATCAGATGATTATGCAGAAGATTATCCACCAATCATACAAGAAATAGACGAATTTGAAGATATGGTATCTGGAGAAGGTATAACGTTTTTATCCAACAACGAAGAATTGCTTAATAGATTACGAGTAATATTAGCGGCCATGATAGAAGGTCATCGATCGCACAGACAATTTAATGAAGTGAATTGTATATTAAAAAGACTCCAAGAGAAAGGTATCATAGATAAAAACGATTATAAAAGCGTGATTAAAAATGTCAAATAAAGAACAACTATTCGTCATCACCTCGAATAAATCAGACATTAAATTATCTCTAGATTATGAGTACGAACTCGATCGCAATCAAGAATATGAATTGGGATTAAAGTATTTCTCTGTTTACAATTCCATTAGAAATATCAACGAAAAAAATAACCAAATAAAAATATCAACAGATAACGGAGTTACATTCAAAACTATACGTTTACTACCAGGAAGCTACGAATACATTGCCATTAACGAATACTTATCTGAATACGCAGGAAGCGTGAGCGGTAAAAACAATATTGAATTCGAAGGTAATTTGAATCTGAACAAAATAAAATTGATATTAAGAAATAATAGTCAAGTTGATTTCAACGTAGAAAATTCATTGAATACGTTACTAGGATTTGATAAACGAGTATACACCATGATATCGATGTGATAAATATACATTGCAATTTGATAAACGGTGGATTTTTCAATAAATACAGACGTCAGATTATTTACAGTCTTCCAACATTCACTGTACCGATAGGATATAGAATTATAGAGAAACCATTTCAAACGACGTATTTACCACTTAATTCCTTTATGATTAAAGATATAAATCTGGAAATCAAAGATGGTAAAAATAGGTTTATAGATTTTGGTAACGAGGAAATTGTAATTCAACTTCATTTAAAACAAAAAAAATTAACACTCTTCATTCTCTTCTTGAATAGCTAGATAATCGAAATCATCAAATTCGTAGTTTTCATCCAAACTCATCTCATCTTTATTGTTGCAAGGATACATAATTCCTTCACTGTTTGGTGCTTTTCTCTTAACGAGATTCAGATAACTTCTGAAAACCTTCTTTTGTTTTTCATTGGGAATAACTATTCCATCAGTAAAACTTTTTACCCAAGGTTTCTTAAATTCATTCGTTACGTCATGTCCACTAGCTAATTGAATGTAGTCTTCTACCGTAATCTTATAGTTAGAGTAACGTTTTCTTTTCTTTTAAAACACCATCGGAAGTTAGAATGATATTGTATTTTACTTTTGGCGATAAATATAAACCAAATATGATTCCACCATCACCGTAATCATTCTTCCCTTTGCTATATTCGTTTTCAGACACCAACCCAGCTTCATTTAATTTATCCCAATTACTAGACGAAATGTATAAACTATCGGTATCTGTATAGTATATTTCCGGCTTATAAAATCCATCTATGACGTGAATGAAATTGTTCATTATTTTTTTACTGTGAGATAATATAAATGCACCTAAATGAGTGGGTGTTAATCTAGTATAATCCTTTGGAGGAACAACTCTTTTTCTTCTTCATTCATCTCAACTATAATTTGACTATCATTTACTTTTTCATAGCTTTTGATGTGTGAATCGAAGTTGGCTTTAAAAGTCGCTTCACTCCATAGATGTCTCGATGTATTTATATCCTTCTGAATAGATTTACCGTATAAGGAATTACCTAATAATTTCATGCAATTACTAGCAACCATATCTCCTCCTTTTTTGTATTTATTCCTTAATTCCTCCAAAATTATAATATAATCTCTATAGGGTGGAGTTTTAAAATTTTCTTCGTAAACTATACCATCTAATATTCTAATAATTTTACCACCAGATTTCACTATTTCTTGAATATCAACTGATGTTAAACCGTCGTGACAGAAACCATTTCTGAACCTGATTTAAGTGCCAGTTTCCTTTTTACCTTCTTTATTCGTAAAAGTTATTTTATCTTGAGCTGGTATGGGTTGAAAGAACATTTTTTGGGGATATTCAAACCAAACTTTTAAAATAGCAGTTCTAGGTCTGAATTTTTGTTTATTGAACAGTTTTACAAATTCTTTTTCTTCTTCTGGTAGAAACGCTCTTGCACTTTCCGCTTTAGGATATTCACCTTCTGTCATGGCGGAAGCGTACAACCCATTAGCGTCAAATGCCATCAGTTTAGGATAGTCCAGTTCTTTGAGTTTAGCGTGAACTTCCGTTTTATCTTTTGGGTTAACACTGTATTCTTTGAATAAATCTATTATTCCTTCAGTGTCACTTTCATTGTATTCTTTTAATATGGCGCAGATCTCATTCACTTTATTCGTTTCAAATGATTTTCGATTTGCCGAAACTCTTCCTCCTTTAATACTTTGTCTGATAAAATATCTTATAAAAGGGTGAGTATGCGAGTAAACTTTTTCTACGTTTTGTTTTTCCGTATGTTTCGGAACCATTCTAGTACTTTGATACCATTCTTCTTCAACCATTTCTTTATCGTAATGATATAAATAATACCAACCCTTTAAAGATAAAGAAGGAGCCGTTAGATTATTGGAAACGTTTTGGAAGACAGTTTTTTTCATGGCTTGATTGTATTTTATCAAACAAGCTCCGAGACATAGCGTATCTCTTTTAGCGTAAGGTTCCCATTAGTGTCTTAAAGATTCCCAATTATCTTTAGTGTATTTTGCAATATTGACATCCTCGATCTTTCTCAAATTCATTGGTAGATTAGATGAATTTCCCATGCCGCTAAACTAGATTTTTCATGTTGATAGGAACATGTGAAATTAATATTTTGCAAATAATTAGATTTCGGGGAAGGGAGGGTTTGATTCTCCCAAATGTACAGGCCTAGGGTGGAGCAGACACTTTATTTAGAAATTAGGATTAAGGGTCTTGATATTGGGTTTTCTTCTGTTCTTATTCTGATCTGAAATTAGAAAAAATAACTCGCCCGATGGGCGAGAAGTGTAGTATCTGTTATGTACTGATTGTTTTTAGTTTACTATGAACAATATTATCATTTAAGTTGAATATTTTTTGAATATGCAACTATCATTTTCTGTTTATAGACATGGGGGATTTTCTCTTGAAGGCTCTTATAGTGGGCATGAACTATCTTGCTTGCTCGATTGCTGGTTGTATTAAACGGGACAACAAAGGGTGCTATGCCTACATTATGATGAATATTTAGTCCTATAGGTCTTGCTGTATTCAATGTCTCAATCCAATGGGCCTCCCTAGATTGACGTAATTTGGTAGTTTCATCTTCGGGCAAGTCAATTTCTATACACTCAATTGGGATTAGGGTGAGATCGTCTATTGAATGGTCGTCGAGGTTGAAATGATTAGAAACAGGCTTGTCTTTCTTTAATTTGATGTCTGACCTATGAGCATTAAAGCGAGTTCGTAAATTATTTTTAGTTTCTCCTACATATTGTTTGGGGCATTTCTTGCATGAAATTAAATATATTACATTCGAATGTTCACATGGTAGATGTTCCTGGATCGGGTACCTTTTATTCGTAGAGTTGCTTACAAAATAATGAGTTTCTGACATAAAGGGACATGTTTTGCATCTACTGGACAAGCATGGAGCACTTCTTAAACCTGGAGGTACTTCGGCATAAAGTCTGTTTTTAGCTGCTATCTGTGCTAAGGTGGAATTTTTTATGTTTCGTAAAAATCGTTTAGAGTACCCACACTCTTTCAGTTTTGAGAAAACAATCGTACAGGCTTGGTTGAAATCAGAAGATCTTGTACAAATTCGATGAAATCGTAAAACTTGTGACTTAATTTTACCAGAAAAGGTATGTTTTGGGTGAAAGGAGCTCTTGTGCAAGAGTTGATGAGTATCAGTTTCTTTGAAATACACTTTAATATCCAGTTTATTTGTTTCTGCTATGGAATCTCCCTTAAAGACTGTGGTATCGAGAAAGTCTATGCTTTTGTCACTCACGTTTGCGGTTAGTTTGATAGAAGGATGGTGGTTGTTGAGAATTTCAAAGAATTCCCAAAACTGTTCGATAGAATAAGTCCAAACCATAAAAATGTCATCCAAAAAGCGTCCGTAAAAAAGTGGGTCAAAAGAGGGGCAACACCTCACGTTCCCACTCTGCCATGAAAAGGTTTGCGTACGAAGTGGCGAATCGTTTGCCCATTGCTGTCCCTGAAGTTTGTAAATATGTTTTACCATTAAATGTGAAATCGTTTCGACTAAGACAAATCTCTAAAAGCTGTAGAATTGCATCGTCGGGTCTGTCTGGATCTGGGTTTCTATTAAAAGCTTTACGAACTGCCGTTAAACCAGTAGTGTTATCGATATTGGTATACATAGAAGAAACGTCGATAGAAATTAAAATAGCATTAGAGGGAACTCGAAGATTTTTTATTTTATTGACAAAATCGGTTGTGTCTTTAAGGTGGTCGCGATGTTGGCATGCTAGAGGTAGTAAGAAATGATCAATGTATTCTGACACTGCATATGACTCACTACCACAGTCAGATATAATCGGGCGGCCTTTAGGGATTTTATTCGAGATAAACCACTCCTTGGTTGGATTCTTATGGATTTTAGGCAAAGTGTACGAATGTCTCTCGCGACAATCAAATTTGGCAGACAGATAGTCATATTGTTTCTCTTTGAGATAACTAGTTTTGACTAAATCGGCAAGAATATTATTAATCATGTTAGCAGTTTCTTTGAAAATTGGTTTCGGTAAAATGACATAATGTTTAGGATTATTCAGTTGATTCTCTGCTTCTGAAACGTAATCCTCCCTATTCAGAATGACACAACATGAACCTTTGTCACTCTTTTTAATAACAATGCTATCGTCTTTCTTAAGTAAGTTTAACGCTTCACGTTCCACTCGTGTGAGATTAGGCTTTTCGTGTGTTATGGAAAGGTTCACTGTTTGACTATTCATACTCGCAAATGCTTTCAATATGTCAGGATGGATGGCGGTCTGAGGGGTGTCCACGTGGATTTAGGAATAAACATTGTTCTAGCACCACGTGGGGGGTGGTTTCGATAAAAATACGTGCAGCTAAGATTTCGTTGAAATCGTTCAATGGATGGGCTAATTCAAGTTAGCTATCTTTGGTGTGGGAATAAACTTAAGTCCACGGTCTAAGATTGAATGCTGAAGGGGTGTGAGAACTTTGCGGCTCAAGTTAACTACAGTTTGGCCTAGCGGTGGCCTCTCAGTATTTTTATCCCCAGTAATTAGTTTAAAGACTTACTCGATGCTTGAAGCTGGTGTATCCAAAACAAATAGATGCTGTTTGCTGTTTCTGGAGACCAATGAAGATTATCAACTGTTTCGAATTCTTCTTCGTAGGGTGGTAAGATTGTTGCGCTGTTGATACTGGACTCCATCATCATGTTGTTGAGAGTGCTGAGGTTCTGTTGTGCTTTCGTCGAGATTTTATTTGAAATGGGTATGCATGTGAAGAAGATCTTGGAGTTTGGGAAGGTTTTGTTGGCCGTGGCGATTAATTTCTGGGCATAGTTAAAGGAGGTCCTTGGTATCTGATCACGGTTGTTGAGGCCTACATGAAGAATAATGGTAGTAGGTTTGGGATCATGGTCGTATGATTCCAGGATTGACTGGATGGATTTGGGCACCGGGGTAAGAATGTATTTCGGTGTCTGAACTGGTTTTGGTAATTCGATTCAGATTAGATGATCCAATTATTAAGGTAGATTTCTTTAGAGCAGGTAGTTTCCATAATGATTTGTCCTTGGTTTGGTGATAATACGGTTTGGTAGCGGATATAATGGTCGTCGACGGTGTGATTGGTACTGGTTTGGTAGTTGTTAGAATTGTAGCATTGGGAACGGACTGGGATCTGGTTCGTGGAGGGGAAGGTCTGGATACACGTCTCGACTTGGAGACTGAGGGGTGGTTTGCTGGTCCAAAAACGCACAGAAGGAAGAAAGGTTGGCGGATCCTGGATCACGTGATGAAGATTCAGATGGTGTGGAAGGGGAAGACGAGTCTGAAAGTGAAAAGAGAAGGGGTGTGCCCTCTCTACGAGAGCGTTTACCTATGTCTGCTGGACTAGGAGTAGGTGAACTTCGGGCTCATTTAGGGGTTTGGTTCGGCAGCGTGGTGGCTCCAGATGGTGCAGGTGTAGTGTCCATTTCAGTTGATAGAGATATGGTTACTCTGGTTTTTGTTTCGTTGATTGTTTGGTAGAATTTGGAGATTACAGCTTGAGTGAGACGTTTCCCATAGGAGCGACGGGCCCAGGACAGGGCATGAGAAACGATGCGGTCGACGGCAGGTGATGATAAAGACTTGGTACGAATGGTGGTCAGCTTCTCTGAAGTGTGGTTTGGTAATGGTCGATCAGGACCTGCGTAACCTTACAGAGCCATGTCCGATTGAGGGATCTAATATTCGCGTCGACAGCTGATGTTTTCATTGCTGGACGGATAAAACTATCCAACTCAGAGACTTTGCGTTTGAAGGTAAACGCTGATTGGCCTTGCTGTTGAAGGGTAAGGATTGCCAAATGATGGAGGCACTGCAAAACTTGGAAGAACACCTTCACAAAGGGTTCTTCCTCCTTATGAGTGGGGACTGGTTGGCGTCGGTGGGCTGGTAGTCGTTTCTGTTGTTGGTCAGGTCGATGGTTACCTCTTGATTGGTAGGCTGTGTTGTAGGTAGGTCGGTGATGGGGTGGGATATAGCTGGATGGGTTGGTTGGTGGTCGGCGATTGGTAGTTGGTAGTG